CAAAGGAAGTGTGAACTTGGGCTCTCAAAGGTAGGCATGCCAGATCAAGGAGTTAGGGGCTCATGGTTGCCAGCAACAGAAATAAGACTCTGGATAATCTAGACAGAGGAACGTCCTAGAAAGAAACTGCACAGCTGGAGAACCAGCTGGAGGGATCCAGAGGCAGGAAATAATGGACACTCCCTTCAGAACACTCCATCCAAGATTCATGTCCTGATGGCTTAAGCTGAGGCACAACTCTGGACCAGGGGAGGGCAGGACACCTAGACTGACAGACTCACCAAAGTGAGCCCAACTGGAAAGCTGGTCATTCCCCAAAGGAAAACTGAAGTATTGTTACCAGAAGAAGGAAGAGGACAGGCAGACGAATGCCACACAGCCACAAGGGGACCTGGAGATCCCAGCCTCAAGGTGGGGAGACTAAGTCACTAGCAATTATGCTTAGTTAGGCTAAAAAAAGTGGCTTCCAGGCAGTTACAGACAGGGCTATTGAGGTCTTCCCAACTGTCCCAACTTCCTTCTGCATGCTTCCAACCTGTTTTGGCTCTACCTAGCTTTGCAGTGACACAGTTGCTGGCTTATCTGATTAATGTCCGCCTCCTGCACTTGGCTGTCAGGTCCGTAAGAGAAAACAGGGACACATCTACTCTTCACACGCCTGCACCCAGCTTGGGAAAGAGCACAGGACCAGGAGCTGGGAGACCTGTGCTCCGTCTGGCCCCAGCATCACTGCAATGAGCCGCGTGACCTTGGACCAGTCTCTGGTCCTCTCTGGGACTGTTCTCCACTGTAAAAGCATCAGGCTGTAGTAAACCAGCATTCCCTGGGGTGCTTGGGGAAAAGTCTCTGGGACCAAAGGCTTCTGGGAAATGCTAGGTTCCCAGCGTGGCTTAGAGACCATGCATACTAGCACAGGCAAGGCTAGTGAGGAAGTGGGCACTCCCCAGGCCCCCTTGCTGGACCCCATACTGTGCACACACACTCGCTGTCACCTGCTCAGAGAGACTGCTGCCGCCGCCCCCCACAGCAATCCCTGCCACCGACCTGCCACTCCTGTCCCCCGCTTTCCTGCCTTTCGAAGCTCTTTTCTTTTCTAATGCTGTGGTGGATGCTGACATTACTTATTTGTTTGTCCATTTTTTCATTACCTGTCAGTTCCTCTAACCAGGCTGGAATGGAACCTCTGCAACAGCAGGCACTTGTCACCCTGTGGCTCTGTTACTGCACGGCACAAGGCGAGCATCCAACAAAATTATATGAATTGAGTAAACTTTTAAAAAGTTTTCCTGAATCCACCTCCAAAGGGGCCAAGGTTGAAAGCGAACTGCATAAAAAACAGTTCTCTGCCTTTTGGAGGTTACAGAAAAGAAATTTTAAGGACTGTATTTGATATGGAAGATCACAGAAATTCAAAAGCTCATGGACCTTTAGGCCTCAGCCTCCCCAATGCTTTAGGGTGTCTGCAGAGGGGCTGTGATTAGAAAATTAAGGTAAAATATAACACAATCTTTTTTAACCCTCAGAATATCCAGGTTAAAAATAAAGAATTCACCTATCTTCATGGAGATCACGGGACAGAGAGGAGGAAGTCAGCCAAGGAGTTAAGAACAATTTTATAGCTGAAAGCTAAATGGAACCCCTCATAAAGAAAGCAATACTATCTCAATCCCACAATGACGGTGAAGTCTTTTCTACTTGCTCTAAGATGAAAACCTATCAATAAAGATGTCCAACTTTAACCATTATTAGGCAGTAGGTCTTTGAAGAATCCACTGCCATATTTCCAGTATAAAAATGTACTTGGAATTTAATGGTTTAATAAAATAAAATGCAAGCACGATACACGTCCTTTTATCTTGGTATAAACGTCCAATGATGCTTTACTAGCCAATAGATTATCACTTTTCTAAGGAAATACATTGAAAGCACATGGTACTAAGATCTCAAAAATTACTGGATTTTAAGAATTCTGAAATCTATTCATGAAGAACATTTGAAATTTATATCTGTACATCAACTAAAGTACGTTTCTGATAAATAATAAATAAAAGTTGAACACACGACTTTCAAACACAACTGCTTTATGACTATATTTTTTCCTAATTTACCACATAAATTAGAAGTCTACATTTGAATGAGAAGTCAAGAGGAATCTGTGATTCTGATTTACAAGTACCTGTGGAAAGAGAGGCATGATCACTCCACTAACTGGGCAGTCTCTGACACTGAGCATATATTTATATAAAGACATCTCTTTATTTTTATTTCTGCCCCATACAGAATAAATGAAACTAAATGCGTCACTATGGGTTATGGGTATGATAATATTTCCTTCACCAAATATTTTGAATCTAGAATTACCTATGGTCCTTCTCTCCTGCAGCTTAGAAATTTTGAAAGTTTAGTTGACTAAATTTCATGGAATAAGCCATAAACCTTCCAAAGAGCAAAAGTCTTAGAAGCTATAAATCCTTAAGAGAACTTTCTTTTAAAAATCTTATCAAGCTACCGCAAAGCAATGTGGCACAGCAAGGAGGACACATTTTGTCACTTACCACAACCCTCCCCATCCGATCCATGAGCAAAAAGTGACTATAGCTCAAAGTCTGTATTATCCACACTACTCGCCACCATTGCCTCAGCCTGCCAGGCTGACGGAGGGACAGCAAGCTGCTGAAGAAACCAGAAAGACAGCCCAGAGGCGCACCAAGCAGAGGAACAGCCTGCGACACGCCAGTGCAAAACAGCAAGCATGAACCACGTGCTGAAGTCATCCCCTGGGCAGGAAATGGGAATGGGATGCCCACTCTGACCACTTCCACTCAGCCTGTGCTGGAGATCCCAGCCAGGGCAATAAGGCAAGAAAGAGGAATGGACGGTACAAGGACTGAAAAGGAAAATGTCGCTACTCACAGACAATACACCGTACACACAGAAACCCCCACACAATCTACCAATGACTATTAAAGTTCCAAAGTGAATTTAACAAGATAGCTGAATATGCGGTCAGTGTACCAAAATCTACTGTATTTCTACATACCAACAACAAATAAACGGAAAGTAAGCTTTGAAAAAAAGATATCATTTACAATAGAATCCGATAATGGCAAATATCCAGGACTAAATCTATCAAAAGACGTATAAGAGCTTTACACAGAAAACTTGCCAAACTACCTCTAGAAAGAGACAGACTAGGATGCCTTCAGAGTCCACGAGGACACCAGGCCAAGTGTGCCTTTCCGACTGAGAAAAAGTACGCGAGCCCAGGGAGGCCCTAAGTCAGGTTTGTCAGACAGAGAAAATGTGTATAAAATAGTTTTACATTTAAATATTTTAATTAGTTGATTTAATTTGAATTAATTAAAATTTAAATACATTTTACACAAATGATTTTTCTAATTCCTGTTTATGTGGTGAGCTTTTTAATAAGCATTGTTTTCTTTAGCAAACATCCTTAATAAAATACAGGCTGTAAGGTGTAGCAGTTATGTTTTGTAAGTGTCATTGTATGACAGATGGTCACACACTGGAAGACTTCAGATATTTTTCTCCCATAATTTGTTGGGACAGATTTATAACTTAGTTTCATAATAGACTCTATACTTGAAAGTAATAAAATTCCACTTCAATGTATTCTAAAAGGAATAAATTTTGAAGCATTTCACAAAACCCACAAACTTCATCTGAATAATGCCAAAGGAAGCTCTGCTGAGCAGGGAGCTGTGATTCCATCCGAAGCTCAGACCCGTTCCCCTTGTTCTAGAAGGGCTGGAATGCTGGACATTAAGAGGATGAAGGGGAAGAGCAGCGGTGGCAAGAGAGGTCGGGGTCATCAGGGCCACACATGTGGCACTGGAGGACACACGCACACTCGCTGCTCAGGAGCAACACAGCATCGACCTTCTCTACAAAAGCGACCAGACCCCAGCCCCACGCACCCCTTCCCCAGACAGCTGTGTCCACTCACCGCTACTCTCTCCACCTAAGTGTCAGGGATGAAAAACACCCACACTCCCACAGGCTTGCCTACCGTCTTTAACATGCATACATTCCCTGGTAAATCAGCCCTTTAGATTAAAGGTCCAAACAGATAAAACATCGGATGAAACAATCCGTTTCCTTTATCTACAAAATAAAATAATTTTAGAGAAAAAGATTCCGGTAGGACAGGCAGGAGGACCAAGGAATTGACTTTTGGTGTAAGATACTGGGCTCAGTGGATCATTTAACATCAAACTGTCATGAACCTGCATGAGATAGCAAGAGGCCAGGGGTGTCCCAGGCAGAGGGCTGCTACCCTCTAGGGAACACACGACATACCACTGCCCTACACAGGACACGCATAGGGCTGGCGACAAACAGCCTCAGAGCCTTATTTAAGTACAAGACCAGTAAGGAACAACTTCTTCCACTGTCACCACGAGCTCAAGTACTCGTGGCTTCACCAACAATATGCACAAATGCCTCCATCACAGTCATTTGAGGATGAAAAACAGCTCTGTGACAAAAGACTCCATCAGCCAAATGACTGACCTACCCTCAATGCCCCCAACCCACAAAAACCACTGTTTTTAAAACAGCGGTTCTCATGGTGTGGTCTGGGCAGGCAGACCTTAAAAGGGAGTGGGTGATGCCAAATCTGTTTTCATGATAGCACTGAGATGTTATGTTACCTGCCTTTCTCTCGCGAGTGCGCAGCGGGATTTCCAGAGGCCACATGACAAGAGCCTGAGTGCAGAGCCGGTCCGAGACGGCAGCCACCTCCTACAAAGCCAGGTGGTCAAGAGACAGCAAAGGGAAGGCGATGCCTCTTTCACTGCATCCTGTTTTACAAAACATTTGTTTTCTATTTAAGAAATGTTATCTGTCAATGTGAACATGTAATGGGCTTTTTTTTTTTTAAAGATTAACCACTCATTTACATATTTTTATTTAGAAATATTTATATCAATACAATGAAACTAAATTTCAGACACTAGATGTCATTAGTTTAGATATCATTAGTTTATTATAAAAGAGACATGGAAATTATTTACACGATGAAAGATTTCAGAACTTCAGTGGAATGGGCAGCTTTGAGTGATGCCATTTCAACAGTGATTTATTTCAGTCTACATACTTTCCAAGAATGTCACCATCTCTAAATAAGAAATAATCCTTGTCATCTATAACCACTTTGGTGCCTCCATATTCTGGGAGAGGAACTTTATCGCCAACTTTCACACTAACTGGTTGAATCTCTCCACCCTTTCGTTTAGAGCCTGATCCAACAGCTACTACTGCTGCTTGCAACACCTTTCCTTGCGCTTTTTCTAGAAGCATAATGCCTCCTTTGGTTACAGTTTCAGCTGCACTCCTTTCAACCAATACTCGATCAAAGAGTGGAAGAAACTTTCTAAATGCTTGTCCTGCCATGACTCCCGCCGCCACCGCAGTTCGTATTCTGCCCTCTCGCCGCCACCACCGCCAGGAGAGATCTGCTGTAATGGGTTTTTAAATGTGAAATGAATAATAATTTTTTTGGATTTGTGTTAATTTCTAATATAGTAAATATCAAGCTTTATCAGTCATTTAGCCAAAAGCTCTTGGGTCCACACTGGTTTTAGAGGAGTATAAAGAGATCCTGAGACCAAAGCGTCTGAGAAACGCTGTTCTGCAGGTGTAGTCCAACACTCTTCCTTCAGAGATGCAGTGATGTCCCTGGATGGCAGACACGACAGAGGAAGCCAGTGGAGAAAAAGGAGCTTGGCTGTGAAAGATTCAAGGAACAGTGAAGGGGTGAAGAGAAAGGTCCTGAATCGAACTGAGACTGGAAGCATGGCCCTCTCCAGTGTTTCACACCCAACACACTGCTTTACTTCCATCATTTTTTTGCAGGGAGCTGGTCTCATCGAGGCAACAGATGAAAAGAATTCTTCTTGAAAAGAATTCAGGGTTGACAGAAGTCAAGCAAACAAGACTTGAAAAACTGGAAATTGACCAGCTTGCTAGAAAATGGACTGGCTTACACTGCTGCCCCAATCTCCTTGTTTGCAGACAAGGTCCCTTGTGAGAGGGAGAGTAGGGGGTCCTGGGCAGGGCCTAGGCACAAGAAGAGAGGGGCACAAACACTGCATTGGTTGCCAAATGCCCATATGCTTCTTTCCTCTCCAGAGCTGCGGGAACCCAGGTGAGATGAGAGGTCGTGGCTGGGTTCCTGGGTGGGCAGCCCTTCCAGCATCCCACAGGTGAGGTATTTGTAGCTGCTGGATTTAACACTCCTAGATGCTGAATTCTTGGGAATCAAATCAGTCAATTTGCTTTGGTTCCAGGTGTTACTGTCTAAAACACAGGAATTCTAGTCACCCCGAGTTCTCCCCAAACTCTACTCCAAACCATCGATGTCGGCACTAGCAGCTGAACCTGTCTTGCAGAGCCAGAACCTGCAGATGATATCTGTACACTAGCCTTGGTCTAGTTACTCTTAGATGTCAGAGCCTTCACCTGGAGAGAGATGATTCCCAAGCCCCAGGCAGCACTCCACTCCCCTGGATGGTCACAGGGAAGATGCTCAAAGGTGACAAAGGACCTGCCCACACCAGGTAATGGAAGGCTCGCTGGCGGGCCTTGTAAGGAACGTGCATGAATTCTCCTGTGTGACAGCAGAGGCAGGACTTTGAGAAAGTGTTTGGAAGAAGGCCCCCAGAAGGCCTTCAGTGGTGACAGTCTCCATGAGAAGGGGACAAGGCTTGGACAGATGCCAACGGGGCAGGAGGAGGACAGCAGCATTCTGGAGGGAAGAGAAGGACAAGTCCATGGTGGCAGGAAGCATGCACGTACGCACACACAGGTACATGCAGGCACAAGCACACTGGCACACACAACCACCAACTTACTGGAAAGTCAGGGAGGGAGGGAGGAGGGTAGCCAAAGCTAGAGATACTGGTGCTGGCTGATCAATGCAGACATGGAGACCAGAGGCTTGGTGGTATTGCCTGTGTGCTTCTCTGGAAGCCCTGGAACATCCAAAGGACCCTGACCCTGCAAAGGTGTGGATGCAGCAGGGCCTAGGAAGGCACCGAGCACAGCTAGGGACCCCTGGGATCCACCAACATCCCCCACAGTACACATGCAACTGCTTACCACACGAGCTACTTCTGCACACAGTAATACCACTGACATCTCATTTTTTTTGTGCAAACTGATTTTAAACAATTTTGCATAAGGAAGGCTGCTGGTATACAGCTGAGAACTGGTAAAGAAAGCACCTTGGAAAGGGAAGCCTTGCTGAGACCCAAGCGCTTCGTGTTTGTAGCCCCAAGCACAGCCAGCCCCTCTGCCCTCCACGCAGGCCTGCCCTCATGATCCCCCACCAGGATGGCCTGAAGGGGCCCGGTGATGCTGCTCTGTTGTCCTGGAGATGAAGCCTGTTCCAGGCCAGCTTGGGAATCAGACATCCACTTGAACCTCACCATGAGAGGCAGGCAGGGGACTCACTGGGGCAACCAGTAGGCTGAGAACCTCCTGGATTATGTAACAGTAGAACCAGCACTGGGATACCACCCTTCCATCAAACTGGGTCTGAACTGCCCACAGTCCTGATCTTTGGGTCTCAATAAATGCATATCTGGATCAAGAGCCTGTTTGTGCTCAGAGCTCACGCCAGCTAGTGGCAACAAGGACACACTGCCTGGTGGGCTGTCCCCAGAGACAGCCACATGGGCCGCAATGTCTGAAGTTACACTCCCATTGCTAACCCAGTTTCCTAGGGAGTGGGGGTGAAATTCAGGGGCTCCTTTAAATTCGTACTTTCTAACCTTTCCTTTTTTGGCAATTGTTTATGAGAATTTTTATTTTAATATAAAATGCAAAGCTATTTATATTTAAAAAATAAAAACTGCTGCAGATGATCAAGAAACAGGTTAGGTGGCAGCCCTGCTTCCATTCAGGAACATATCATGCAGGTAGGCATGAGGTGCACTCAACCTGGAGCCCGTCCGGCCACACTGCTGCCAGCATGCTCTGCCGTTCACTCTGGGCAGGCCTGGGCCATTCTCTCTTAGGGAGCAGTACAAAATTGCAGGCTCTCTTTCAAAAAAGCAACGTTAAGAATTTAAGGGAAGAAGGGACAGTCTGAGGTGCAGAGAAGGGAAGCGACACGGATGACACCCAATGAACTGCACTTCAAGTGGCATGTGGGGCCTTCTGATATTAACTCCCTGTGTCCACCTGGTGGATGGAGAGTCACACAGACGACCACCCCCCATCACTTCCACTCTGCTTCTTTCTCTGAAGAAACAGGCTAATAACTGCAGTGTGGCTGGCCTCGTGCTTCATGAGACAGAAAAGTGTATCCCAACAAACGGGGCCCTCTGCGAGCAAGAGCACGTTGTCCACCCTCTCCATGTCCCTGTGACCAGCAGGTTAGTGAGCACAGCACCCCAACCTTCCTCAATAGGCTCCAAGGGGAAAAGAGATCTTAAAAATACAAATATGATCATATGATATCCAACTGTGAGCCACTGAAAACCACAGCAAGAGTGAAGCTGAAAGCAGAAGACACGGTGTGAGGAAGCGTCACAAAGTCTGGAAATGTTTCAGCTGGAACAGACACCCTGACCCCACTGAAGAGCAGGTTGGTGGTTCTCTCCTGAGACTCTGAGAGCAGGTATGGCCCTTGCAGGGGACAGGTGAAAACAAACCAAGGTACAATTTTAAATGACCATAACTTAGCAGATCTGTAAAGCTGAGTCTGCTCATAAACAGACCGAACCCAGTCAGCACAGGGGCTCTGGACTCCCCACAGTCCCCACCTCAATGAAACCAGGCCTTCCCTTGGCTTGGCTCACCAGCCCCAGGCCTGTGAAGTGTGGCCTGGAGCTTTTCAGGCGGTGTTACACACTGTGCAATTAACAGCAGCAGGCAGTTAATTGCTGATTAACTGATCCTGCACAGCAGCCTTCAGGAGAGTGGAACTCTTGTCTTGTAATGGCCAGGCACCTGATGAAAAGGCTGGTGCTCTCACAGCCTCGGGGTGCCTGGAGGACCTGACAGAGGAGTCATGTGAGCACCAGCTGGACTTGGGCTTCAAATCTTCTCTTCACAGCCAATCCCTGCATCACACTGAATCTTTGTGAATTATAATTTTAAAAACATTCTTAGGGTAAATTACAGATAGCCAAATTGATCATTAAGCCGAACATGCAGTGTCAACACAGGCCTAATCTCCTAATTTAATCATTCATGACAGCTGTCGTTAGGACAACTGCTCCAGCCTTCTGCACTTCAGAGCCACCAATAAAGGGAAGAGAAGCCACTGTCCACCACAGGACTGCCCTGCCACCTGTCCTCTCCCAGAGTCAGTCATTCCCCAGGTCCTCCTCTCAGCCTCAGGGCAATGGCCCAGCCTGGCCAGAGACTCACTGGGCAAAGTTCCTCTGTGGTCCCAGCAGGAATGCAGGCCTTGGGTCACCTCATCGGTACAGACACTGTTTTGGCCTGCACCACGCCCCAGCCCAAGCAGGCCAAACTGCTGCCAGGATCCTACATGCTCTCGTACACACACACTCTCACACAATCTCAAACTCACATGATCACATTCACACACACTCATACACTCAACACACACTCACACACCTCAGCATTGCCACAAGACTTTCCACACTGTTTTGTGAAGAACTGGGCTCATGTGTCCACCCCCCTCCCTTGCTCACTTAAGTAGGGTCCAGTGATAGAAGAAGAAGAAACCCAAAATGGTGAGGAGCCCATGGGAGGAGAAGGGGACAGGGGCATCAGCAGCACGGAATCCAACAGATGCTCCACCAGTGCCTGGATAATGCAGACCGAGGGAAGGGAGTTGCAATACCCCCGGAGGACAGAATGGACTGCACGCATGAGAGCAGCAAGCCAGACCCGGCAGCGGATGCCTCCCTGCCAGCCTGTCCCGGGAAGTCCTGCACAGGCTCCAGCCTCCTCCACAGACCAGAGGAGAACCTGTGGGCGCAGGACAGGAGTATGTCCCAGAAGAAGGGCCTCTGAGATGAGACAGGCATGCAAAGTGCCCACCTACTCCCCCAGCCCCGGCCTTCCACTCCCTTGCCAAGGCGACTTCACTGGTGCTCTTCCAGCAGCAGAGCAGCTGTGTCACAGCACAACTACATAACATGAAGACGTGCCAAGGTGACCTCTCCCCACCCACCACTGCCAAGGCCACCAAGGTCCTGCAATGAACATGCCACTGAGCCAACAAAAACATGAACAAGCCCACAAACACGGACGGGCTTCACTTCTGTGTGAGCCAAGAGAATCACACCATGCACCGCTCCTCATGTCGTCTCCACTTCCTACGTCCTGGCCTACCCAGGAAGCCGGGAGCTCAGGCCCGACATCTTCCTACAGCATTCACACGTACACGCAAGAGCTGCACGTGCAGTGTGCATGTACATGCTGCTTCGTTTTTAGAGCA